CCGGGCACCCGGGGGGCGCGGGGGTGTGTGTTTACCGCCGGGCCTGGCCGTGACTCTGCAGCCGCCCGGAGGAGGCGGGTCGCGGCCGGGGCTGCCGGGACATGTAGTGCGGGAGCGGCGGCACAAAGCCCGCGGACACGCGGGGAGCCCCGGGGAGCGGAGGGGCGGCCGGGGATGGGGGCCGTGCCCGCGGGGCTGCGGGGGGCGGCGGGCGGGGGGGGCGACGCGGGCCCCGGGGCCACGCGGGGCGGCCCTGAGCCCCCACCCCCCCACACCCCCCTGGGCCTTGAGCCCCCCCCCGGGGCTCTGATCCCCCACCAGGCCCGGCCCCGCCGTGCGGCGGCCCCGTGAAGTCCCTGTGGGGCAGCCCGGGCCCCACGGCACGTGCTGAGGGCCCGGCCCTCCGGGTGCTGTCTCTGCCCCACGGGGGCGAGGGGCTCCGTCCCGGTGATCTCGGGGGGTGCCCACACCTGAGCTCCCCCCCAGGGGTGCAGGGACACAGGGCGGGGGCTGGCTTCACTGGGGTCCCCCGCGTTAGTCACTGCGGGCCCGTGGGTTGGGTGGGGGGGTGACTGCATGGGCAGGGCGATGCGGCTGTCCCGCCCGGGGATGGGGGGCTGCGTGATCCCTCACTGACCCCGGCACGGGGCAGAGCTCGGGGAGCTGCGCAGCTTTCCCACTGCCCCGTGGAGCTCAGGGTGCTGGGGGACCCCATGCCTGCGAGACTGGGGTGCTGGGGAACCCCTTGCCTGCAAGCTTGGGGTGTTAGAGGATGCCCTGCCTGGAGCTCCAGAAGCTGGAGAACACCCCACCTGTGAGCTCAGGGTGCTGGGTGACACCTTGCATGGAGCTTAGGGTGCTGGGACTGCCCTGCCTGAGAGCTCAGGGACACCCTACCTGTGACCTCAAGTAGCTCAGGGACATCCTGCTTGCAAGCTTAGCGTTCTGGGGGATGCCCTGCCTGTGAACTGGGGTACTGGGGGACATCCTACCTGTGGGATTACCTATACCCTGCTTATACACTCAGGTATACCCTGACCCTGAGCTCAGTCAGTGTGGGGATGCCCTTCATGGAAGCGTGGAGACACCCTGCCTGCAAGCTCAGGGACACCCTACCTGTGACCCCAGGGAGCTCAGAGACACCCTGCCCGCATGCCTGTGCCTCCTCTGCCCACCAGCACAACCCACAGCACCAGTCGTGGGCAGTGGTGGATGTGAGTGGGCAGTGGGGACATCCGCCGTGGGACATGTGCCCTGCTCTGACACCCCCGTGGGTTTGTTTCCTTGGAGGTCCAGGCATGTGGGATGTTCTCACCAGGGTGGGAAGGACCAAATTCTGCTTGCCTGACCCAAACCCCACAGCACCAGCACCAGGCTGGGGATACCCTGGGGGCTCTGGTGGCTGCCACTTGCTTCCTTTGCCTCTGTCCTGCCCCATCCCTGGTCATGCTGGGTGCCTGGACGGCTTCTGAATCCGTGAATTTTTGCCCTCTCCATATCTCTCTGTCATTTCTCAGGTCTCTTCCCAGGAAGAGCAGCTGGGGCAGGTTGCGGGAGGTCTGCCGGTAAGGAAGCAGGCTCTTCCTCCTTCCCCGGTATTTAAGAAGCCGCTTCCGTGCTGCCCAGTCCTGGGCCTCTCTGTCCCGTTCCCCTTATGCGTCTGGTGGTCCAACATCCCGGAGCAGCACTCTGGCCACGTCCCCACGAGGGACATTTCCCCCAAGACCTGCAGGGTTTGGCATGTTTTAGGAACAAGTTTGGGGCTGGTTTCGGCAGGAGCAGGGAGGTGGGTGACAGCCACCACCAGATGGGAGCCCTGTGCCATGATCCCACTGCAAACAGCTCTTGGTCCATGTGACAGATGGCTGCTCCCAGTGAGAGAGGCAGACCCCTGGGCACCCATCCCAGATCCACAACCCCGGGACATCCATTGGGAACTGCACATGAGGGAACCAGTGTGGTGGGTTCTTGGCACACCCAGTGTCAGCCTGTGCTGGGATGCTGCCTTGGAGGCTGGGGATGCACTGAGATCTTTCCCTGTCCCTTTAGGTTGAGCTGGGATCCTTCCCCATCCGTCTAGGGTAATCTGGGATCCTTCCCTGTTTGCTTCAGATGAGCTGCGATTCTTCTCTATCTTATTGGGCTGAGCTGGGATCCATTCCTTTCCCCTTGGGCTGAGTTACAATCACTCCCCACCCCTCTGGGATGAACTGGGTCTTTCCCCATCCCTGTATATCTTTGAGGAGTTGTGGTGCATTCCCAGGTCACAACAAGCAATGATGACTTGCCTGGGAGCCTCCAGGCACTGCCTGGGCATGCGGTGGTACCTCAAGTATCACTTAGACCCCTGGGTTCCAAATCTCTGTGGTTCCTCCACGGCCTCACCAGGAGGGCAGTGAGGGCAGGATGCCGGGCTTTTCTTCCCAGCCTGGCATTGGCAAGGCTCTGGATGGAATATTCCCATCTCTGTCCCGGAGCCACTGGGCACCTGGATGGGTGACTGGAGCCCGTCTTATCTCTCCTTGTGGCGGCAGCCTGGCTCCTGTGTTTAGTCTTTGGTGCCTTGCAACATCCCCGGCGACACTGGGTGCTGGGTGTGTGGCTGCCTGTGGCTTTGGCATGGCAGGATGGCCAGCTGGTACCACAGCCCAGCAGGCTCACCATCCCTGTGATCCAAACCCCCCTCCCTGCTTCCCTAGGGGAAGGAGCAGGGTGTGGGTGAAGAAGCTGGACCCCTGAGTGGTGGGCTTTGCTTGGGGTCCGGTGCCCTGTACCTGTGGGTGTTGTCTGTCCAGAGCCCTCCACGCCAGTGTCATGGCTGGCTCCGGGAGGCATTCCCTGCACATCTGCGGGGCAAGGGCGTGGGGGGCGCGGAGGCAGCGGCAGGAAGCAGGCAGGAGCTGCGGCTTGGGGTGGGACAGGGGCTTCTCTGCTGGGAGCTGTCATCTGGAAGCCATCAGCGGGGCGGGAGGGAGGGAGCCGCCTTCCCAGGGCCACACACGCCGGCCGGCCCCATGGGGACACAGCCGGCCGACCCGCAGCCTCCCTCACCCGCCCGGGGGTCCCCGGCTCCCCTCGCCCGGGCTTGGCACTGGGCAGCGTGTCCGAGCCCAGCAGAGCAGGGGGGCTGCAGTGGGGCCACCGTTTGGTCAACTCATCCCCCAAAGCTTTGGATACAGGGCTGGAGAAACCCACCCACCTGCGTCGGCAATGCTCTTGATGGGTCGAATCATCATTGCAAACCAAGGGGGGACGCAGAGGGGTGAGCTGACAGCAGGGGTGCAGCCCCCTCCTCCCTAACCCCGCGTCTCTCTCGCAGCTTGGCCAACATCCCGTTGACTCCGGAGACCCAGCGGGACCAGGAGCGGCGGATACGCAGGGAAATCGCCAACAGCAACGAGAGACGGCGGATGCAGAGCATCAATGCTGGCTTCCAGTCCCTGAAAACCCTCATCCCACACACGGACGGGGAGAAGCTCAGCAAGGTGAGCAGGATGTCGCTGGGGCTGTGGTGGTATAGGGTGCGGACACTGGTCCTTCATGTGGAGGGGCTGAAAGTGTAATTGGGGATATTTGCATGTGTTAACTCAGTGATCGAGGTCTCTCCTGGGGTGTTCTCCCTGTGGGAGTGGGTTTGCATCACAACCCAGAGTGGGCTGAGTGTGTGTGGCAGCCCCCGGTGCCCCAGGAGCAGGGTGTTGTGCCTGGGTGAGGAGGAGACCCTGCTGCAGAGGGGAGTGGGCTGAGGAGGTGCTCGGCAGCCAGGCAGGTTCCTGAAATGGAATTGGAGGATTTCACTGTGGTGGAAATCCCGGAGGGGACCTGCAGGTGAAGCAGACCCTGAACGGAGGTGCCGGGGCTGGGTATGGAGCAGTGCTGCTGCCTCCCGGGCAGGGAGCTCAGCAAGAGGAGGTTTGGGGGGACAGTATGGTCTCCTGCCTCAGCATGCCCCTCCTGGCTCTCCCACAGGCAGCCATCCTTCAGCAGACAGCCGAGTACATATTCTCCCTGGAGCAGGAAAAGACTCGGCTGCTGCAGCAGAACACCCAGCTCAAGCGGTTCATCCAGGTAGTGCCCCAGGGATGGGATGGGAGGAGATGGGACAGTCCCAGCTGGCCAAGGAGGGGACATCATCACTGTTTCTTGGGGTCAGGGCAAGACCCTCTACCCTAATCAGCCGGGAAACGGAGATGTTTCCACCCTCCTGGCAGGGCAGGGAGCCCCATTCAACCTGGCATCCCTTACCCGGCAGGGGGAGAAGGGCTGGGGTCCCACTTTCCATTTGGGGTGTTGGGGTACAGCCCAGTGCCAATTCTAGTGCTGGGGTGCCCAGGTTGAACTGTTCTGGGTATCACAGTGTGAGAACCGGGTTGGCACAAGGCTGGGGGGGTGAGGACCAGGATGGGGGGCAGATGTAGGAGCCTGTCCATCCCCAGGCATCAAGGACAACCCTGCAGAGACCCTTCCCAGCAGGGAGCTGTGGTGGGGGGTGGCATCACCCGAGTGTGGTCTGGATGGTGGGGAGGGCATCCAGGCTGGTCCCTGTCCCCTGACACCTCATTCCCATGGCAGGAATTCAGTGGTTCCTCCCCGAAACGGCGACGGGCGGAGGACAAAGACGAGGGGATCGGCTCGCCAGACATCTGGGAAGATGAGAAGGCCGAGGATCTGCGTCGGGAGATGATCGAGCTCCGGCAGCAGCTGGACAAGGAGCGCTCAGTCCGCATGATGCTGGAGGAGCAGGTGAGGCTGGGTGCCCTCCAGCAGGCTCTGCCACGGCCCCGGCAGATCCCTGGGACACCGGCACTGCCACGGGACCACCGGACATCTGCTCTGGCCACCACTGCTCCATCAGGGCTCCCTGGCTCTGCTGGACCCACCCCAGGCAGGGCACAGCCCACAGCCGTGGTTCGGGGGTGCTGTGCTCGTCCCCTCACTGACGTCAGGGTTCTCTCGCCCGCAGGTTCGCTCCCTGGAGGCCCACATGTACCCCGAGAAGCTGAAGGTGATCGCTCAGCAGGTGCAGCTCCAGCAGCAGCAGGAGCAGGTGAGGTTGCTGCACCAGGAGAAGCTCGAGCGTGAGCAGCAGATCCGAACCCAGGTGAGTGCACCCCAGCCCATCCTGCCCCGTAGCCCACCCGTGGTCCCCCCAGGTGGTGAAATACAGGAGGTTGGGGCAGTTTAGTGATGGGCTTGGCACCTCCTGTGGGCAGCAATGTGCCAGCAAAGCTCTCACCTTTGGCGAATTGGGGAAGGGTCGGCCCAAAGCCCCCCCCCAGTGCTCAGGGGGCTGTACTTGTGCGCACCCCTTGTTTCACAGCGGGACTATGGCTTGGACCACCCGTGGTGGTTTCCAAGCAGCTCGGCTCCCTGTCACAGAGGGCTTTGTACAGGGAAGGTCTCTTGCTGGTGGGCAGGGATTCATCCCGGGGGGTTCACCTCTCACTGAGTGACTCCCACTGAGCTTTAGGGACCCCCAAACCACTCCGTGCTACCCACCAGGCTGGGAAAGGGGAGCAGTGAGCAGGCAGGCAGTGGGGATAGGAGCCTTCAGCCTTTCCCGCAGCACAGTTGGATCTGCCAAAGGTGCAGGGAGCAGGTGAGCGCTGTGCTGGCACCTGTGCGCTGCCACCCCCGAGCCCAGCCTGTGGCCACACCGCTCTGGGAGCTTCAAAAGGCGAGAGGAACACCAGCTTCCACCCTCCTTGGGCTTCTGAGAAGCCATGTCCCCACAGGGTCCCTGCCGGCTGCCTCCTGGGGAAGTTCAGCCTATTTTTAGGTGAACTCTACATAGCCTCCTGCTTGGGCGGATCTTCCCATCCACTGCTCAGGCGAGGATCCCCAGGGGTGTGGGGGCTTCCTGGCCATGCAGGTCAGGCTGAAGGGAAGCCTGGTACTTGCCTCTCCTGGCTTCAAAGCCCAAATCATTCCCTCTTGGGATACGGGGATTACTCACATTCCACTCTGCCAAAGCTGAGGTGGCAGCAGCTTTCAGCTGGCATCCTCCTGTGTCCATCGGGATGGAGAACTGGAGCAGCCAAGTGATGCTTCAGCTTTTATGGAGTTTGGGCTCAGTGAACAAGCGCGATGCTCTCCCCACTGCTCAGGTCCCTGCTCACCCGGGGGGGGGGTTTTGCTTCTCTCCCCAGCTCCTGCCATCACATGCTCCCCCAGCACCCACCCACCACCCCACCGTGATCGTTCCAGCACCGCCTCCCTCCCATCACGTCACCGTGGTCACCATGGGCCCGTCCTCGGTCATCAACACAGTCTCCACATCCCGGCAAAACCTGGACACCATCGTTCAGGTGAGTTGGGGAGGATGGCAAGGGGGGGGATTTGGGGAGTCCCTAACCCCCGAGGTTGTGTCGGAGGGGGCACGGACCATGTCCTGATGGCGGGTGGTTGCCCTCGGCAGGCGATCCAGCACATCGAGGGGACGCAAGAGAAGCAGCTGCAGGAAGAGGAGCAGAGACGCGCCGTCATCGTGACGCCGGTGCGCGCCTGCCCCGAGCCCTCCGCCTCCGACACCGCCTCCGACACCGAGGGCAACGACAGTGACTCCATGGACCAGAGCAAAGAAGAGCCCTCGGGGGATGGGGAGCTGCCCTGACACCCCCCAGCCGGCAGCCAAGGAGGGGAGCCGGGGCGGGGGGGGAAATGTCAGAGAATATGCTGAAATTTTTAAAAAATACAACGCGATTTGGGTCTCTTTTATGACCTTTTTCCAATACTGTAAAGCAGAGCGCTAGAGGCAGGCAAAGGTCACCCTTCAGCTCCCGGGGGGCAGCCACAGTGGGATGCAGGGGGCTTGGGGCATGGAGGGGGGGGCGTTTGGGATGGGAGTCACAGCTCCCCACCCTATTTTTATCACTCCCCCCACCTGCCAACCCACAGGGAACCCTGCCAAGCCAGCAGCAGCCCCGCTGTTCCTGATGGTGTTCCCTTGGAACAGGGCCTTTGGTTGGGATCTTAATTTGGTTTTTTCCTTCTCTTTTGTGTTTTTTTTTGTTCAATTAAATGTTCGTTTTTTAAGCAGGGGGGAGATGCCAAGTGGCACGGCAGCAAAGGTGGGACAGGGACCCCTGGCTTCAGGGTACAACCAGCCCCGCCACGGCTCCCGCACTCCACGTGGGGCAGGGAAAACCCCTTTGGATAGTAAAATAATCCCAGGATGATGCCATTGGAGCACAGGCAGGAGGGTCGGCACGTGCCACCTCTCCCTGGTATTTCCAACCCTCATTTCCTTGGCACGGGTATGGCGAGTTGGGGGCTGATTTTCCAATCCCACCCCTATCCCCGTATCCATCCCTGTCCCCCAACTCTGCTCCCATCCCTCCTTTAAGCACTTAATCCGGTTTGTGGGGTCCATCAGCTCCGAAGAGCTTTTCTATTTCGTGATTGTGTCGCTTGGGTCTGTCGTGGGAGGTGGGGGGGCCCCTGTTTTGTGGATCCCCCCCTCGCCCTGCCACTCCCTCCCCCCGGCTGTAGGGTTTTAGGCCAGTCGTGTGTAGAGCCTCGGTGGTATTTGGTAAGTTCCCCCCCAGCCGCAGCTGTTTCTCGGTTCCTTTCCCCCCCCTTTTTTTTTTTTGTTCTGTTTTGTTTTGTTTTGGGTTTTTTTGTATTTTTTTTTACGATTTTCAGGTCTTTGTGTTGATTGAGAAGCTATTCTATTTTGTTAAGAAAGTTGAAAAAAAAAAAGAGGCTCGTGCCTTTGTAAAGAAACAAAATAAAGTTTGTACTTGGTTTTTTAGAAGCTCGGTCCCGGTGTTAACGTTTTTGGCAGGGCTGGGGACAGGACAAGGATGGATCCCACCTTCATGGACACTGGTCCCTCGGGGGGGAAGGAGGGTGGGGAGGGCAGGGGAGCGTTGCCTGCCTTGGGAATCACGGGCAGGAGGCAGAGGATGCTGCCCCTGGCGAGGTTTCCCGCTGAGCAGCCGGGCTAAATTTAAAGGCTCAGCCCTGCCAGAGCTGCCCACATGTGTGACGAGCACCTCAGGGCTCAGCTCACTGCTGAGATGGTGGGAGGGGCTGGTTTTAATTAAACCACACAGCTGGGGCGGGGTCAGTGTCCCCCCTGCCTCGGGGATGGCACCTCTGGTGCCCCAGGATGGGGGTGTCCCTGTACCAGGATGTGGGAGGTACCCATCTCTCTCTGTGGCATTTTTTTTGGGGGGGGGGCACCCATTTTTCCCACCTCTCTGCATCCCCCGATAGCTGTGGGTCTCTCCCCCTCCATGCTGTGGCCATCCATGGTGTCCAACTAAGGGCTAGGTCTTGCCTGCTCCTACCATCACCCTCTCCCCCCCATCCCCATCTCGGGGTCAGGGGCTCCCTCTGCTCCCACACTTGGCCTCTGCCCCAAGGAAAAGCTGGATCACAGCCCCCCAGAGGTGGCTCCTGCAGTGATGGAGCCCAGAGGCTGCTCTGCTACAGCCAGACTTTGGGAACAGCACTGAGTGGCTTTTTCCTACAAGTGAGGGTGCCAGGAGCTGGTAACCGTGTGTGTCTGGCTGTGGGGAGGGGACAGTGCCCACCGTGCCATGCTGCCAGCACAGTACCAGTGACAGGGGGGGCACTGCCAGGGTGGAAGGGACATGCCTTGCCTATGGGGTGTGTGGCATCACCTGGAGTTGTGACCTGTGGTGGCTTGAGGGGACATCAAATCAGCCCAGGACGAGGTGCTTGGGGACAACCCCCTTCGGGGACACTGCAGTGCTGCTCAGCACTTCCCCTCCATAAAATCCTGTTCCAGCCCAAAAGGGGCTGCAGGAGCTGAGGCAGCCCAAGGAGCTCCACTACACCACGCCAGCAGGACACTGTGACGGGGACAGTGACCCCACACGGGCAGTGCCATCCCGGGGACCCCACGCCAGGAGGTGTCCTGTGCCATCGCATCCCCGACACGAGCCATTCCCAGCGCTGCAGTGCTGCCGCTGTGCCCCATCCCCGTCCCTGTCCCCATTCCCAGGGCCCCCGGGAGCGGAAGAACGGCGGCGGCAGCATCTGTGCGGGCAGCTGCCTGCCCTGCCTGCCCTGCCTGCCCTGCCCCGCGCCGACGCCGTATAAATAGAGGCAGTGAGCGTCAGGGAGCTCCTGGCAGCCACCATGAAGGGCCTCAACCTGCTCTGCTGCTGCGTGGCCTCGCTCCTGCTCCTCAGCACCGCAGGTACGGTCACACACCGGCCTGGGGGGCTGCTGGGGGCTGGGGGTACCCCCGGGGGCTGGGGGTGCCCGTGGGGCTGTGGGAGCTGGCAGGGCTATGGGGTCCCCACAGGGCTGCGAGTGCCCTTGGGGCTGTGGGGACCCCGTTGGACTGTGGGGACCCCATGGGGGTGTGGGTACCTGTGGGGCTCTGGGTGCCCGTGGGGTTATGGGGTCCTCATTGGGCTGTGGGTGCCCATGCAGCTATGGGGTCCCCGTGGGGCTGTGGGTGCCTGCAGGGCTATAGGGTCCCCATGGGACTGTTGGTGCCCATGGGGCTGTGGGTCCCAATGGGACTGTGAGTTCCTGCAGGGCTATGGGGTCCTCACAGGGCTGCGGGTCCCCATAGGGATGCTGGAACCCATGGGGCTGTGGGTCTATGAGGCTGCAGGTGCCCCTGGGGCTGGGGGTCCCCAAGGAGGCTGTGGGGTCCCCACAGGGCTGCAGGTGCCTGTGTGGGGCTGTGGGTGCCCTGCAGGGTTGCAGGTACCTGTGGGGCTGCAGATGCAGGTAGAACTGTGGGTGCCTGTGGGGCTGAGGGTGCAGATGAGGCTCTGGGGTGCCCGGTGAGCCCAGCCTGCCCCCAAGGGCTGGGAGCAGGGCAGGGCGGCAGGGGTACAGCCGGCCGGGCTCCCTGGCAGCTCTGCCAGGGCTGCAGAGTCACCCCAAAACGTGCTGGGGGTCCAGGGACAGGAGGGGATGGCGGGGGTGCAGATTGGGGTCCCTCCTGTGGAGTCAGGGAGGGCGCACGGGCTGCGCTGCTGCTACCATGCCCCGGGGGCAAGCGTCACCTGTGGGTGCCGTGGTGGCTTGATTTTGGACTGTGAGGACTTGGGGGGGGCTGCCAGGGCTCTGGGGATCTCTGATGACCCCGGACCCCCTTCCCCGGGCCGTCCCATCCCCGCTGAGCACCCCGATCCGCGGCCGGGTGTCCCTGGGGCCGCGTGGTGGGGTGGCATCGCCGGTACCCTTGCTTGCCCTTGAGTTAATTTGGGCTGGTTCTCCGCCTGGCCGGGCTCCGGCGGCCGCGCAGCCGGGAGAGGGGGGCGGCTATGTATGGAAACAGCCGTGTAAGGGGACACTGCGCTCCCTGCAGCCCCCCCGGCCGCCCCCCCCCCGCCCCGCGCCGCCGCAGCCCCGCGCTCGAGCACCCGCAGCTGCCGCCTTCCAGCACCCGGCACCCCCCGCCCCGCCGAGTTTTGGCCTTTTAAGGGCATCTTGGGCCATTCTTGGGAATGAATGGGCTTGGGGGCCAGTGACACACCCTGACAGTGCTGGGGTGACCTCCACGGGCCACCGGTCAGGCCTGTGGGTGGGGGTTGGAAAGGACCTCTTTGGGCATAGCTGGTGGCCGGTGCCACCTCTGGCTGGGCTGGTGGCCCTGTGGGACACCTGGGGGCTGTCACCATGGTGGGCGACCACCAGCCCAGGTCTTGGTTGTGCTGAGGCTGGCATGGAGGCTGGCACGGCCCTCTCAAAGGAGGCCCCTGGGACCGGGAGGTGTGCTGGGGTCCCCAAGGGGTGGCTGAAGCCCCCCAGGTCCTCACACTTGGCACCTCCTGCTTATTGAGGGGTCCCATAATTTATTCTGATCCTGTAGGTTTGGAAAAAAGCTGTAAGCAGTGGCACCTGCCCATGGTTCTGCTCCACAGGGACTGGTGGGATCTGCAGGATGAGTTTTGCTTTTCCTTTAGTGCCAAGCCAGGCTCTTGGATCCAAGCTCCTTTGAGGTGCAGGAAGTGGCTTGTGGGAGGTGTTTCTTCTGTTTCTGGGCCATGTCTTTCCATTCAACCCCTGTTTGGTGAAGAGAAGGGTGTGGGAGTCCAACGGGGAACCAAGGCCTTCATTGAGGCATCATGGCAAGGCGTGGTCCTCGGGATTTAGTGATGCCTGGGGCCGCTGGGACCCTGTCACCATTCCCAGAGGGCAGGTGTGGGAACTGCCCTGTGCCTGCGCTCCTACAGTCCCAGCTAAAATGACCCATGGCCCATGTGGCCAGGGCTGGCAAAGCTCCCCAGTATGGCCAGAAGCCCCAGCAGGGACCAGCAGCCACTGCAGGGCTGGGTGGTGGCTCGTGCTGAGGGCGCTCACCCACTGCTCCATCCACTCCTGCCTGTGGGAAGGTCTCCTTGTCCTGCACTCACACCTTGGGCAGAGCTTGGCCATCCCAGGCCAGGTGACCCCTGTGGCTGCCAGGCATGGGCCACGGGGATGCTGGCAGGGCAGTGCCCAGACACCACGCGGGGCAGCTTTGCCCTGGGGAACCTTTGGCCCCACAACCATCACAGATTTGAGTGGGATGGCAATGCCATCACTACTTCCAAGCTGGGAGAGGGATTGGGGAAAGCCCTGGCATGATGGTGTCCTCCTGGAAGGCACTGTGGGGCTGGCACAGACAGCAAGCACAGGCCATCACCCTGGGAGTCCTCATCCTGCCTCAGCCTCATCAGCCGGGTCACCTCGGGATGAGCTCCATCACCATGTCCTCATGGCATCTTGGGCTGTTCCCCATCCCCCAGGACATGTCACCTTGGGAATACGCCATCTCATGGAATGTGTCACCTTGGGGTGTCCTCCACCATCTGGAATGTGTCACTTCACGGTGGGCTCCACCTCCCAGGACAGAACATCTTGGGAGTGGGACTGTGGGACCCAGGCACAGCACCCATGGAGACCCCCCACCCTGACCATCCCAGGCCAATGCTGCCCACGATAACCAGCCTCCCCAGAGGTGGGGACCGCTGTGACACCCCCCTGGACTCACTCCACTCCCCAGCATTGGCACAGCCATGGACACCACTGCCATTGGGTGGCTGCAGTGAGACAAGGGGCTTGGGGTGCATTAGGCACCCACGGCTTTTGGGTGCTTGTGCCACCTGCATCCCTGTCACACCCCTGGTGCCACACCTGGAGGAGACCTGGTCCCTGTGGATGCCCCATCTCACTCCCAAGCTGTTGGCTGAGCAAACCAAAGCAGATGTTGGGCAGGTTGGCTGTGCTGGGTCACTCTCTCCTTCAGCCACCTTTGTCTCAGCCGAGCAAAAAGGCCAGGACACCTCACCTGTGCAAGGCCTTGATGGCACAGGGACACCAGCAGGTGTCTGTGAGAGGGCACCAGTCTGGGAGGGCCGTGCCCTGCCCAGGGAAAACGCTCTTTCCATGTTCCCACCGTGTCCCACTCACTGACCCAGGGTGTCAAAACCCCAGCCCGGCAGCAGGTCAGGGTGACCAGATCACTCATGGAATTGCCTGTTCCCTGGGCTCTGCAGGAATAGCAGGGCTCTGCCGGGCTATTTTCAGCCCACGGGGACATTTCCCTTGTAAGTGATAGCTGGAGGAAGCTGTGGGCTCATGTGCCAGTGGGGGCTGCTGGAGGGGCCGGGGAGGCTCCGACCGGGCACCCCGAGCCAGGATGGGGCGTTGGCAGTGTCAGCACAGCCCTGGTGCCAACCAGGGGTCAGCCCTCCCCACACATGGGGCATGCCATGGCACAGGGCTCAGAGCTGTGTGACCCCATCCCTGTGCTGGAGTCCCCCTTGCTGCCGGGTCAGACCCCCAGGGCTGGGTGTCCCTGCTTGGCTCCGCCAGGCAGTGTCTGCCCAGACATTCCCATGGATTTGAGGATCCTTTGGGAAAATGGGTCATCATGCATTAGAATCCAATTTGGCAAGTCCAAGGGCTGCCCAGGTGACCGAGAATGCTTGGGACGACCCAAAGAGGGATGGGGAGCCTTCCTTCACTCAGGAAGGCTCGCCCTGAGTGCATGGAGCGTGTTTCTCACAGGACACTCCTGGGATGGGTTGGTGAAGCCTCCCATGGTTGGAAGCCAGGGGACAGGCCCAGTGTGACCTCTTGGAAGTCCCTCCTCCAGCCCCAGCTGTGCCACAGCATGTCCCTCAGGTCCCTCAGCAATTCCCTGGGCTGCAGACCTTGCAAGGGACACCACGGGTTGGTGTTCCTCGATGTACAGCGTGACATCTGCCTGTGCCAAAATACCTGATGTTTCCGGGCTGTCTTCTCACCCACAGACCCAGATCTCCTCGGCCAGGAAGCAGCGTGTGCTTCATCTCCCACCTCCCTCATCTTCCTGTCTTCTGCAAGTCAGGGGTTCAGGGTTCCTTCCAGATCTTTAGAGTGGGGAGACTGGAATAAACACTCCACAGCATTGATTCCCCATTTTCATCTCTATATTTAGAAAGCTTCAAGCCTGGTTTTAATCCCTTTGGTAGATCCTGGTGAGGTTTTTTTACCATTTTCTAGTCAAAATATCATGCGGTTCTATCCAACTCTTTATAGAAATCAAACCAACTTATAACTTTTTTTGACTAAACTTAAAATCTCCCTCACAGATAAGACCAATTAGTCCGACAAAGTTGTTTCCTAGACCTCTCTCCGCATTGAAAAAACTGGAATATATTTGCTTTATGCTGGTGTTTTGAGATCATGAAGCCTCTGGGACGTGATGATGTGTCTGGGCATCCTGGGTTTTGGGGTGCACAGGGGTCTTGTGTCCTCTGGGCTGCTTGAGCCCTTGTGGGACACTTCCCTCTGAAGGTGTTGACCTGGCTGGCTCCAAACTGGTGCTGGGCCACAAGCCAGAGGAGCACCAGGGGTTCAATCCCAAGTGGAAGCCATGGGGACCTCACAGAGCCCGGTGGGCAAGGACATCATCATGAAATGGGGTCTTGTGGAAAAGAGGGGGGGTCTGCACCAGGTCCAGGTGGAAAATCGCAGGAAGTCCCAGACTTTGTGCCCAGTCATTCTCCACGAGGTTTCAAAGAGCTTTGTCAGAACAAAGGCAGGGATGGACGGTGCAAGGTCCCCCCAGGATCCCACAGGGAGGATGTGGGGAGTACAGGACTAGCAGGAGCCAGTGGATAACACTCCAGGGCTGCAGGGGCTGGGATCCAGGCTGGGGAAGGGGGCGTGTGAAAAGTCATTCCCTGCCATCACCGGCCCCACGCT